CCCTTTTATAATCTACAATTTCATGAGCACAAGATAATATATTTGTGTTTTTTATCACGCAACTACAAGCATTTTTGTCGATCCCTACATGATTAGCTCATTTGGCCTCCATCAATATTATATTGAGTGTGCTTTTGAATACCAAACCTTGCAACTCTTTAAATAATGAAGGCTTGTAATTATGCTTGACAATCATAAAAGTTCACTCAAATGTAGCCTTGATCTCTGTATATTGGAGCTCAACAAGGGAATTGATTATTTTTTATGATAATTCAAAATCCCTTTGAGATGATTTAATGTGCCTATTTAATTTTACATGCACATTCTCGGCCCTAAATAAATTAATAAAAGCATATTAATATTTTGTTATAAAACCTAAAACCATAAATAATCATAAAAATGCAACATAAATCATATTTATTTATTATAACATTACTAATTTGCATTGTTTTATCTATCCAAGCAATAATAAATTTGTCCTTATAATTTGTTAAGCATTATTCTTTCACATACTTAATTACACCAAAATAAGTCTAATAATTCATTTCTAGTGAACTTAAATGCCCTTTACACTCATCATCAGTAGAAGAAAAACACAAGAACGCTCCACTTAATATGAATGCCTCCATTTCTCTTTCCATTCAAAAAACTTCTTACAATTCGTAAGTACTTTTTTTTAAGATATGTAATTTACATAAAAGATTTACCATTTTGGGAAACACAACATCTATTGTATTCATCAATACTAAATCTCTATAAGTAATAATAATAGTAAGAAATTTACTAGCAAGTATCAAACTTTTTAATTTATTCAATGTACAACTACAGTTCTTAGAACACTTAACCTCAATGTACACAAATGCAACAAAAAATATCACCTTAATGGAAGTCAAACTAATAATTTCAAGTAATAGTAGATGGTATCTATTCGTTTTATAAGTGCAATCTATAATCAAGACACTTGAAAAGACTTACAATAAGTCTACACTAATAGGATAAACCCAAAATAAGTCTTTTATGTAATCGCTTGACTTATTAGTCATATACTACTTTAGCTCTTTACAATTGGTCAACTTATTCATGAATTGTAGTATTTGTGAACTACTAGTTTTCTCAACACATCTGTATCTTTGATGTTCATTATATATTATTTTTATAGTGTTGAAATTCTTCTCATTATGTTGTTTTATAGTCAACAATATATTTTGAGTCTAACCATACTGTTTAACATATCAGTAACTATTCTTTTTTTTTTTTTAGATAATCAACTTGCAAATGAATGTCTCTCTAATTATTTTGCTAGTAGATAGCTATGAAATCCACAAATTACTTTCTTGTCCCACTAATATCTTTTGCTAACTTAATCCCATGTAATTCAAATTAGCAACTACACTTTTTTGTTTTCGTTCTTTTACGTTGGATTCCTTTTACCTTACCCTTATTTTTTTGCTACCTATATTTTTCACTTTATTCACAGTCAATCTTATTTTGGGTTTCATCGAGCCTCCCAATTCAGAGTTTTTAATCACAATCACAAAACTACTATCTTTTCTAACCTACCCAGCCCATGAAATCAAAACTTCTTTACTACAAAACAAAAGCACAACATATTTAACTTATTATGTCTATACAAACAATATTTTATGCCTTCCATAACAAACTACCTAAAAAATTTTTTTTACCTCTTCTATAGTAAATGAATCCATGCAATTATATCTAGTATCTAAATTTTTTTATGATTAATTATACTTTATTAGTATAGTTTCTAAATTAATTTACATATTACAATATATTAAAAAATTATAATACTACCATTAGGAAGCGGAAATAATAATGTTATTACTTGACAATTTTAATGTTTATGGAAATGGATATTTGGAATGCAAAATAATTTTAAAAAATATATTTTCGAAAATCATGTTGCATTACCAGATACGCATATTTGGTAATGCAACATTATTTTTGGAAATACATTTTTGAAAAACATGTTGCATTAATATCATGTAATGCAATATGTATTTTGAAAATGCATTTTCGAAAATTATTTTGTATTATCAGAAACCCATATTTGTGAACATAAAATTTTCATGTTGCATTACAAAAATTTTACTTCTTCTATAGTAAATGAATCCATGCAATTATATCTAGTATCTAAATTTTCTGATGATTAATTATACTTTATTAGTATAGTTTCTAAATTAATTTACATATTACAATATATTAAAAAATTATAATACTACCATTAGGAAGCGGAAATAATAATGTTATTACTTGACAATTTTAATGTTTATGGAAATGGATATTTGGAATGCAAAATAATTTTAAAAAATATATTTTTTGAAAATCATGTTGCATTACCAGATACGCATATTTGGTAATGCAACATTATTTTTGGAAATACATTTTTGAAAAACATGTTGCATTAATATCATCTAGTGCAATATGTTTTTTGAAAATGCATTTCTAAAAATGATGTTGTATTACCAAATATGCATATACTATAATGCAACATTTTTTTTTGAAAATGCATTTTCGAAAATTATTTTGTATTATCAGAAACCCATATTTGTGAACATAAAATTTTCAATTCAAAATGGGTTTTAAATGAACTACCTTGTCAAGCTCTTCTCTTCTAGTTTTGTTTCTCATTTTGCTATCCATGTTTACAAGACTTAACAAACCTTTCAAAATTTGGTGGTTTGTTTAAAAATTTAGGACTTTTAATCTTAAGAAAATGAAGAAAAAAGAACAAAATAAGGAAAAAAGAAAGGGAAGAAGAAGAAAAAGGAAATGTAAATGGGTGTAAAGGTTAAATTGTAATATACTAAAGGATATCTAAGGTATTTTATATGTGAGTATTTTTGGAAGAAAAATATTGAGGTGTACGAGAATTTTAGGTGGTGTAAATATAATCTCCCTTAAAGAAAAATAGAGTATAAAAAAGATTAAAAAAAATGAAGAAAGAAGGCAAGCAACTCCCACCAATGGATCTGCAAACCATGAAATGTAACCCAAACTTGGACCAAACTTGATTGGATCCGTTCACCTCAGCTTAGGCTAGTATGGTATGTTTATCTTAATTCCTTTATTAGTGATTTCAGCTATCTAACAATATATTATTTTTATTTGCAAGATTCTAGAATGGTGACATTTGACATGAAGAGTTAGCTCCTTTTTCTACAACAAAGCTTTGTTTTGTATTCCTATTGGTTAACTCTACTTATTCAAGCCAACATGTCCTCCCTTTTGAAATCTAATTAATAATAATAAATATATTATCAAAACCTATTTCACCAAACACGTAAAACTTTATGTTGGAATGTCGAAGGATAATTCCTATATCAATCAGATTTTTCTTTCATTGAATCTAATATTATTCTTTGGTGTTCCTCAACTCAAAATAATGAATCTCATTTACTAACCATAAATTTTCAACTTTCAATGCAAGAGACCATTTGGATTACCAAAAAAAAAAAAAATTCTCTATTTTCTATCACCCAAAAAACCTTTCCCCTCCTATATGTTGGAATTGATAATTTTAAAGAAAAAAAAATTGATCTAAAAAAAATACTAAGTTTGACATTTTCCCTCAAAGAAAAGTTTTGCCTACAGTACAAAACAACAAAGGTTAAGAAATCTCTTAGATCTCATCCACGACTAAAGCTTCACCATTTATCAAGTAAGATGCTTTTGATTTTTTTCCCACTTTTCTAGCAAACATGGATATACTTATTACTTAATTAAATATTCAAATTTTGGCTGTAAAAAATAATACATGAATACATGTAGACAATTAATAAAAATAATTATATGATTAAAATATAATTTGAGTTGTTTTCAATAATTTATTTTAATTATTTTTGTTGTGTGTACCTTACTAATATTGTTTTTTTTTTTTTTCATTACAAAAAAAAATGTAAGATTGAATTGTTGAAATCATAATCTTTCTTACCACAATAAATCCAGATAACTTAATGATAGACATATTATTTTGTTTTTAACAATAAATTACTTAAGTTACATTGTTGAACACAAACTTATTATTCTATTAAACTATACCAGTAAAAAGCTTGCCATATTACTTATTTGAACATAATGTATATGATATAAATTTATAAATTATAAATAGTTTTTTAATGCAGATTTTATTTCATTTCAAATTGTTAACGCAATACTATAAAACAATCGCATTTAAAACCGGTAACAACCTGTGGGATGTAAAACTAGTTTACTTTATTTTTGTATGCATATTTATTCACATGTCTTAGGATTATTCGAGTTATTTTTAATTATTGACAATGAATTTTCAAAGGAAAATATGATTTAATTAAATAATTAAAGATTGTAATTTAAAAGTTGTTTCTTTATTTTGTACAATTAGTAATAATTTAAAAATAAATAAAAATTTATCAAATGATAACATTTTAAAAAAGTAATGAACGTATAATTTTTTCAAATATTTATAAGTTAGAATTTTTTTTCTAAATTCAAGACGTTAGAGAATTAAATTTTTGTATCAATATAAGAATTTTATTTACTTTTAATTTGAGATAAAAAATTAAAATTGAAATAAATTGTGATGATTTAATTTTCTTGCATGATTAACTATTTGCAATTATATATTGTAAATTGTGTTTGATAATTTTTTTTATCATATATATAAAATTAATTTTTTTATAAAATATAATAAATCCAATGCTGGAATCTCATAAAAGAAATGAACATGTTATTTGAATACTCTTAAAGTGAAAAATATTTTTTGAAGATCAACCAAGATATTAAAGAAAACCTAAAATATTTTTAATATTTAAATATTAAAATTAATAAAACTAATAAATAATAAGAGTAAATTAAAACTGTTAATTAAGACTAAAAAATAATTTAAAATTAATTAATATCAATTTGTGACTAATGTAAGATGTTATAACTTTTATTACATATAATCGAACTCTTAATTTTATTCAAAAGACCAAAACTTATTTTTTTTAAGAACTTTCAATGAAGCTTAAAATTTCCTTAAGACTTCCCTAGAAACGGTAGAATTACTGGTGTATACATGTCATCGCATGTAATTGCAATGACTAGCTCGCTGCGTATAATATCTATAGTTTCGCAAAATCTCCGGCTCTTTATCTGTGGGTCTTCTTTGAGTAAAACTGGGGATTTATATATTACATATTTGGGGATTGAAAAAGGCAAAAGCACCCTGTAAAGAAAATAATGCCAAACGTAAGCAAAAAGAACACCAAAGGGACTAGAAAGAATAAATAAAACAAGAGGAAGATGAAGTTCATTATGCATAATTCTCGTTCTCGTTCTCGTTCTCGTTCTCGTTCTCGACTCTATCTGATCCAGTTTCACCATTTTCTTCGTCCCTACTCTCATGCTCTTCGGTGGCAGAAGGGAAACAGCTATTATCTTGTGCCTCACCCTTAATGGTCCGTGGTGGAGCATGTGATACTGAGTTTGCTTGCTGCTCAGATTCCAAGCTTGTAAGACCATTCTCCTTCAGGTAAGTCTCCAAAGGAAGGCTGGCTACTTGAAGAAGACTCATCATGCTCGCACGGTTGGAACCAAATTGTGAATCATCCTCACGATCAGGATCGCAGTTCAAGTCTATCCCTCCTTTGTTAGCTTCAACCAATTTGTGGGGTAGGTTGTTGATCTGGCTGTTTGAATATTCTAACTCATTAACTGACCTAGCTTCATTCTCTGAAGGATCAAGTTGAGATGATATAAGTTTAGAGCTGCTGTCTAGTTCTGCTTCTTCTCTGGGACCCCATGCTTGCTGATTCCTCTGAACAATCTCTGCTTCTCGCTCTGACTGACGTTTCTTCTTGCGCATCATGAGGGTTTTAAAACGACGTTTGACTGTCATGCACAATTTACATGTGCATGTGGGCTTGTGTTTTCCCTTCCCACTTGGAGGCTGGATGCACACAATGCAAGAGCAACCAGCACGATGCCTTGGGTGTTTAGTTGTAGTTGCCACTGACATAGTGCCTGAATGATCTGCATTGTCTCCAAGGATTGCAGCATTAGCCAAAGCATCCAAACCAGATGATTCATGCTCCTGGCTTGCCCTATGGAATGCTAATATTCTCCTTTTTTTGAAATCTGTAAATAAAACATGGCTTAATAGTTATCATTTATCAATAGTCTTTGCAAAGCAGAGAAGTTGCATAAAAAATGCAATCAATTAAATAAAAGAATAAATCACGGACAATATGTAGCCTGGAAAAGTTTGATTATGTAATCAGCATGCATAAATAGTTTGGGCTGGAACAGTTTGATCATGGAATATGCAACAATACACACGGCTACTCATTACATGACAACACCATGTGTGTAACAACTCAAGACCTTAGCTTATGACCATTTATGCACAATATTATGGCTCATGAAGTTTAAGCATCTATGGTTAAGATAATTTCATCTGATGCTGATGAACCACCTTAGGATTTAATTAGGATTTATTTTTTCATTTGGGATATACTGGAATTTTGAATTCATGCTAGGGTTTTATGGCTTGTACCTATAATAATTTGGTTGACTATTTCTCATTCAATATTTGAATATTATCAAATTATTTCAGGTTTTATGGCTTGTACCTATAATAATTTGATTGGTTATTTTTCATTCAATATTTGGATATTATGAATTTGTTTGATTTTATTTTACTCTTTAACAAAATCTATTAGGATTATAGGCATTGGAAGGGTTAATGCCATGAATGACTCCTAAATTATAATAAAAAGTTCAATGTGGTACATTAACTTTAAAAATTTCTAATGTGGTACTTAAATTTTGAATCTGTTAATTAATATGGTACTCGCCTCTAATGTGACTAGCTTCAAATGATGACACATGGCAAATAAATAACCCTTCAAGTACCACAATTGTTAACAGATTATAGTTCAAATACCATATTAGTGATTTTTAAAATTCAGTACCACATTGAACATTTAATATAGTTTAGGATCATCCATGACATTAACCCATATTAGAAAAATAAGAACTGAATTTGTGTTTTCTTATTCTTTCCCCTTTTTCTCTCTGGTTTTCATCTCTTGATTCTTGCTATCTTTCCCCTCTCATTCCTCTGCTCTTTCCATTTTACACAGAATTCTTTCTATTCATTGTTCTATATGAGGAATTTCGCAGGGATGCCCACACAGTAAACACACAACATCCTAGCTCGTAACAACCGGGAAGGGCTAAAGCAGCTAGGAGAAATAGGTTGGCGCATGGATGGAATTATCCCAAATTGGCAACTTTAATTGTTTCATGAATTTAAGTATATGTAAGAAAAATCAATAAGCTTCTTTTCTTTAAAAATATGCCAAACAGAAGCAAGAATGATTGAAATGCAGTACTAGCATGAACCCCACATGATGAGAACCATCAGTAGGAACATGTGCAGTATCAAGATATAAATTCATATATACCTATATATTTGCAGAAATGACTATGCACAAGTAGTGTGTTATGCAATCTTTTAGGTAGAATATTGAGTTTTCAGAGCTATAATGGGATGGAAGGTACAACTTAATCCAGCCTTACTGTATACACCCTTATTTGTAGTATAATAATTGTTTGTGGGCAATCATAACCTACTAGAACAAAGATTGGGAAGAAATCTGGCATAGTTATATACAATCTTAGAAGATAATATGAGAATGTACCTTTATTTAATCTAAGGAGATTTTCTAGCTCCCTTTGGGTGAGTTCATCTGGTGCAGAACATGAAGACCTGAAAACAAAATGGCAGAGGAAATAAAATGATTTCCTTTGGAACTTGGTAAGGGTATGAATGCAGAGGAAATATGATTTCCAAAATGCTGACCTGCTTTGATCCCAGTTGTTGTCTGCACATGTCCACTTTGGCGGAAGAAGATCATCGACAGGCAACCTTCTCCATTTGGAACAACTGTCACACTGAGCCCATTGCTCTTGTTCCCTGAAGATCAAGCTTAGTAATTAAAGACTAGATAGATTTTCCCAACCATAACCTTGAGTTAGAGATAGATCTTTTCAAGGACAGTAAAAGAAAGAACAGTGCTTGCAGACAAAACAAGTTGCTTTAATATATGAAATAGCCCCCACTCACTAAGAACAACAATCAGCTGTTATTACATAAGTGGTCCCAGCTTTAAACTTCAATTCCTGGTTCTTTTTTCAATATTAATACTATGGCTGTTTATTAATATTATTAGATTTTCTAAAGGAACTGAACAGAAACATAAAAAATTGAAAATATAGAGGAAAGCACCACTTTTAAGTTCGGAATTACTCAAGGTAAAAGTAATTTCACTACAAATTATCCCTAATTTTTCCTCTTGCACAAGGGTTGTATTATCAAATACTTAGCTCGTTAACCTTCTGACTAAAATGTAAAAATAAATGGATATGCTCACCCAGTTGAACGGACTGCATAGATATTCCTCTGCCCAAAAACTGGAGGTTCCTGTAGGACAAACATTTATAAAAAATCACATTGTAAATCGCACTGCTTTATCGAAAATTTACTATTTAGATGTCATAATTCTTCCAGGAGAATTGAAAATGAAATTGGCAACTATATCTTACTTAGAGCATTCTAATTTATCAATACAAAAAATTTCTATGCATCAGAGATAGATTGGAATTACAAAAGAAAACTGGTATTTGAACAATTATCAGAGGTCCAAAGTTAAATAGATAGGAAGAGCTAAGTGCACCAAAACAGCAAAGCATATAATCATTCCTATACCGAAATATTCAAGGAAATCTACTCACATCATATTCTTCAAAATCATGATCCTCAATCTTGACAACGCTTGGCTTGATACTTGGGGGTGGGCGGAGCAAATCCTGTGCCTCTTCCCAAGTAAGTTTCAGCTCCAAAGCATCCTGACTGTCAACCAGCAACCTCTTGCTTTTGGAACCAATATTCCTAGTTCTTTTTCTCTCTGGAGCTAACATAGATGGTAGTAAAAAGCCCTCCCTTGTCCTGTCCCCATGATTATCAGATTTATGCCAGCTAATACCACCACCAGCTGAACTCAAATGTTTGGACAGTGCAGTTAGGTGGGGATTGGTGCTTCCCTTCAGTGACTGAACAAGGCCAGAGTAACCACTAATTATGGGCAGGTTGTCAAAAACACCCGAAAAGAAACTTTCACTTGAAAGAGTGCCATTAGGAATGGCAGATGGTAGGGTTTCCTGTTTATTTGATAACTTATATATCAATATTATATGATCAAATTTTCTAACATGAAAGTGACTGTTACTTTACCTGCACTGAAGCAGTGTTTGTTGCTTTACGAAATCCCATAACAAGTTTCCCTTCTGGATCCATGCGGCTAAAAGTTACTGCAATAGAGGACATTACTCAGAAGTGATGTTACCCAATGAGAGCAAATAACAACAACATTGAATTGTCCAATAACCAGATTCAAGATTGTACCAGTATCCCCAGCTTGCAACTGCATAGACTGTATGCAAGGAGTCACACCCTCCAAAACATACATCCTGCTGTTGTTATTAGGCCAGAATCTGAACTGGAACACCCATTCTTTTCCCTTTACATCTTGAATTCTTAGAGGAAGGCCCTCTGGTTGAGTTATGGGGGGAAAATAAGCCTGCAAATACATTCTTTTTTTTAACTGATATTCAACAAGGCTTCTCAATAGAGAGTAAATAAATATCACTTGCAAGGGTAGGATGATAGAAGAGGAACTAACTTCGGCACATGCTTTTGGCAGAACCAAACGACCAATCCGTCCAGCGTCACTTGCACTCAGAACCTTTTCAAACAGTGGAACAATGGTGGAATTTGAACTGGAAAATTACATGGTCAAGGATTTTACTGCCCAAATCAATAGATAGACATGAAAATTTTAGTAGTCTAGCAATTAATGCATGGTTGTGCACATAACCATAAATTAAACCAATAATGACACAATGGTGGATACACTCCAGAAATTTGCTGTAATTCTTGGTCTGTAATCCTGGGCCAATAACGAGGAAGCAACTGATTCCGTCCACGTCCCTCTGGGGGCCTAGCAACACGTATCTGGGGTACCATGCCAGTATTCACCTCCCAACCTGTTGCGAGAACAGGCTTTGGAGGCTTGGGCAGAAGATGGCGAGATTTGGATACCTGTTGCAAGACTGAAGACATCTTACCCTTTTCATCCACAACTGAACCAGGAAAGACATTTTGGTTCCCCAATGAACCACCCAAAGAAATACTCAAGTTTGTTTGTGGTAGTGACTCATAAGTATTTGCTTTAAATATGGTAGGTTTCACAGCTTGAACTGATCTGTTAGATGATTGATTAATATTTGCCAAGTATGTGCTTCCAAATTCTCTTTCAGGAGGCAAAACTTCCTCCTGTTTCATTTGTCCCAAAGACCCACTTGAGTCATCGTTGTGAAGCTGAAGCAATTCTCTCAGCCCCATGCTCTCTGCATTGTTGCTCAACTGCAAAAGTTTTAGGTTTCGAATGCTCACACTACTCAATTGGTTGTCAGCAGAGATTGAGTGCAATTGACCAGTATCACTGTTCACTATTCCAAAACCATTAGGGTTTTCATCTTCAATCATCTGTATAAATATGTTTTAAAAGCATCATAAATATCTGACCTTTTACATGTAAAGGCCTAAAAGTTCAAACACCAGCTAGCAGTAATCCAGCATGTCTAAGAAAGTACCAATGGTATGACAAACAGAAATAAACTGAATCATAGAACTAATATAACAAAGACATCAACCTGAAAAAGCCAATATCTTGACAAATACCATCATTTTCCTTTGCATATCACTCACAATATAAACAATTATCCTCACTTACCATCACAACAGAGAAGTCAAAAAAAGGAAAGAAAAAAACGAATCCCTTGACATGTTGCAAAATTAAAGAAGGTTGCATTCAATGGGTTGGGACTTGGAGAAAAACTAAATCAAATTGAGACGGGGCAAAATGAGATTATTTCAGAGGCATCACCAAACCCCCAACAGAAGGTGTGTCTATTTATCATACACCCCACAGCATCATTTTTATTGTGAACTTAGCATGAGAATATAATGATAAAATCATGATTCGAACAGCATTATTATTTGAACAACTTTTGAAAATGGTAATGTTGAATAAGTTGATCTTACAGAGTTAAATCCTGACTTTTTAGCACAGCTTGTACAGTTGACGCCCCCACTATCAAGAAGCTCAAGCAAGCACATGGAAGCAATACATCCACAATGGAGATGCTGCCACACCAAAAGCATTGGGATTATACACCAGAGTATTAGGATGGGAACTAATGAGAATATTGACAAAGAAGAGACAAGAAACTAAATACTTGGGGTCACACACCTTGCCACATGAAGTGCACTCCCTCCACCCAGAATCCTTTGAGTGGAAAACATCACAGAATATAGCTTGTTCATATGCAGTCCTACACCAAATATAAATCACAAATGAATTTAACAATGGAGTTCTTTTGATGGGACCAGTTTGGCAAAAACTCTGCCTTGTTTGGATTCCTCCCCTGTATTTAGCTACTTTATATGATTCAAAACGTAATCAAATTTTTAGCTAATGTTATATAGCAGAGGAAAAGAAACATCGATATAAGTATAAAAATGCAATATTTTCAATTACTGTTCCATTGCTCCTTAGCTTCCATAAAAGAAGAATCAATTCAAGGAATTTTTTACTTCCAATTCTCTATACAAAAAATTATTACAAACCTCACAAATCCGTACTAAACATTTTAAACAATCACAAAAAATCTAAATAAAATAAAAATTCAATTGTTTTATCTTAGACTCATCAACTCAAGCTTAGCTAATTATTAAGCTTACAAAAAAAGATTAAGTGAATACAATTTTATAATTACCCGCACTTATCGCAGAGATTAGCAAAATCTCCAGATCGCAGAATCCAGCCTTTTCTCCACTCAATCGACGTGGACGCCCCGCAGAGTCCATTCATGCAACTCTTTGACGCCATGCTCCAACCTTAATTCCTACAATTTTTTCTAAAATATACAAAAATAAATCGAAAACAGTGAAACACCCCCCCCCCCGGCCAAAAAAAAGAAATTTCTGTCAAAAAAAAAATCAACCAGCAAGCTAAAACCAAAACAGAACAGATTCAAAATTGGTCAAACAAAGAGACTAATAAATTTAAAAAGCAAACAAAGAAAGACAACCTTTTGAAGAAGATAAAAAGAGCTGATGCTTCACCGGCGTTGAATACCGCGGCAAAAAGAAAACATGTTGATTTTTTTTTTGAATTATTTTGTTGTATTATTTGCGGCTATAAGACTTTGAGGTGACGATGTTTGAAACGAAATTAGCGGAAAGAATCGAGAAAGAAAGAGGAGTTCTGACGATGAAAGAGTTGAATCGGCGATGGTGAGAGAGCAAACAAATCATGTGCATGCAAAGCAAAGCAAACAGAGAGAGAAGAAAAGAAAACAAAGAGAGAAGGGTTTGGTACTTTACAAAAACAAAAATGCATGCACGATGATGATACTTCAAGACTCGGCGAACTCCCTTCCCCCACTTACCCCCTTTTCTATTTTCTCCTTTATTTTTTTTAATCTGATATTTTTTTATAACTAGAATATACATATTAAAAATTTAAAGAAATTATTATCATTTAAAGTATTTTATTTTTATATTGTTGAATTTCAAAACCTAACTATTTTTTAAACACCACTCCCTCCATCCCAAAATGTTTGAGCTATATTACTTTTTATAAAGTTTAAAAAATTTTAATTATAATGTATTTAATATTAATATTAAAATTTCTTTTATAAAATTAAAGTTTTATGATTTTTAATTTTAAAAAATAAAAAAAATATAAAAAATAATTTTATAATATCAAATAGTGACAGTTTTAAATATTCACAAAAATATATATATAATTTTGGAACATCCATAAAAAATAAACAAAAAAATGAGATAAAAAGAGTATTATTTAAATTTTTATATTAAGATACAAAAAATTTAAAATAATTTTTTAATAAAAAATAATATATTATAATGAAGTGCTCGGATATAAAAAGGTTTTGTTTTTTGATATCACGTAAATAATAAAAGATTTTGTATTAGCAATAAAAATAATAAAACATTTTGGAACTTTTTTCCTTCTTTCTTTTTGGTTACAATTTTGGAACCCTTTTCACTCAAATACTTGAGATCAAATTTTAAGATTCAAAAGTAGTTGAAGAATTATTGTAACACAAACATTAAGGGTTTTTTTTTTTTTTTTTTAACAACAAACTATAGGGTTATTGTGTATTAGAATAACTTTGCTTGTTTAATATTTTTCCTTAATTTGTCCTTTTTAAATAATAATTATGCATTTAATAAAATAATATTAGTTGTACAAATTTTTTTTGAGATATTTACTGTGCAAATTATTAAATGAATTTAATGTATAATATGCATTTAATAAGCAATTGTATAAATGTAAGGATTGGTCATAACTCAAACTTTTTCATATCTATGAAACATATTTCTCTTATTTTTTTTTTCTTTCCTCAATTTAAATTTGTGTCTTTTAGTTATAAAATCGTACATAACAAAAAATTCTCTCTCCCCTCACAGATTGTTCATATCGCTTTAATTTTCATGAACATAAAAAATGATTTTAGTGTATTTAATATATTATAAAATTTTAAATTTTTTTATAAAAATGATATTTCATTATTTTTCAAAAAAATCATGAAAATAATTTTAAAATATAGAAAAAAATAAAAGTTGCAAACATGCAAAAAAGACATTTTTTCGATATCCCAAAAATTAAAAAAAAAAGAAGAAAAAAAGGCCGTAAAGAGTATTTAATTTTCAATTGCTTTTTTTAATAAAATAAATCAAGTACTTCACAATAGCCGGTCAAAAAAATTACTTCATAATAGTATTAGTCATTATAGATTATCGTGTTATGTTGTCAAAATTACATTCACATAAAATGAAGCAAGTAATTAAGAAAATAGTTTTCTCCACTCGCTACGTGCTTGTTGTTGTCTTAACCGCCAATGGAAAGATTTTGATCAGATGCGGGGCCCGTTGAATAGGCTTCATAGGTTAAAGAACCACGAGCAGTGTAGTTACATGAACACTGGCGCGTGACAAATACCTTGACTATTTATTTAATCAAACTATAAGTTTTTCCAAAAGAAGCGTATAAAAATACGGCATGTTGACACCAGCGTAAAGTGCGCCATCAGACGCGAGTTTCCAAATTAACCGCGACTGTCTCCTTCTTTTACAACTAAACCACGAGGAGTTGCTGTTTTTCTTTGGAGAAATTGGTCTTTCGACGGTCCAAGCCTCGAACGAAATTTTGCGTGCACATGTGTCAACCGTCAACGAACATTATACGGTTGATTTTTCTTTTTCACGTTTATTTATGACGTCATACTACTGAATTAGTGATGTTAGGTGACCTGGATGCCCGTTTACCTACCGCGCTGAAAGAGAAACGCCAACCCACGCGCTAAAGAACTCAAACGGTCGCGCTGGATAAGTGACCGGCGCGGGTGACAAAACAAACATTAGTTTGGATCGGCGAAAATAATTAGTTCACAGAAATGTTAATACGCGAACAGCCGTATAATTTGCTGATATGATATATAATCACTAGAGTGGTAAATCATGGATCACAGGTTCTAAAATAATACTTGCAGCGGTTAATCTAATTTATAAAAGAAGAGTTTTTTCTTCATTAATTGGATTCAATCTTTGTGAACAAGTATTTTGAGAGTAAAATTTTAAGTTAATATTTAATATATTATTAATATAAAATTTTAATTTTATAATGTTAATAGGTTAATATATGTTTTATTTTTATTTTTTAAATATACCATTAAAGGTATATCATTCTCTTAAATTCATTTATGAAATCTAATATAGCACTATTAATCTATTTAATAACTATTTTTCTTTTACCTGTGCCATGCACGGAGTTTTTTTATTATAATTTATATTAATTTTTATGTTATATATAGATAAATAAAAATAATCATAATTATTTATAATTTATAGTCTAAAATTAAAAAAATTGTCGATATATAAATTATTATGAAAGAATCTAAACGAGCATTATGAAAGTTTTAGATTATGAAAGTAAAATTATATACAAATATAAATGAAAAATTAATCTTTTATTCACAATTACATAAAATTTTTAAAAGTATATATTATTTTAGTATAAAAACTAAGATTTACACATGTGATATATCATAAAAGACTTTTTCATATTTAAGTTTGAAACTTTATCTTGTCAAACTGTTATGACAAAAAAAAATATTGATTCTGAGAAAAAATCATAAATATATATTTAATAATTATTTAATTTAAAAAAATCTAAATTTTTAAAAATTTAGTTTATCCAAGTTTAATTTTAAATTAAGATAAAAGAAGTTAGTATAATTTTAAATTTAGATATGTATGTAATTTTGAATTGCGATAAAATATTTTTCTTTTTTATTTTAAATTATAAAAAAATAAAGACAAAAATTGGTAAATAACAGTGATTCAATCACAAATTTTATTTATTTAAATTTATATGAATATTAATTTAGATGGTATATAATTTTTTATGATTTTTAAGATTTAGAAATTTAACCTTTAAAAACTATTTGAATTGGATAAGAGTGAAATATGAGAAGATATATTTTATTAGATTTAAATTAAGATAAATCTTATATATTTGGAAAGATTTTGATAAATGTAAATTTTAAAACTTTAAAATTTTTAAAAATTAAATAATTGATTTAATAAAGTTATTTAAAAATATCTTACATATCAATAATATAACCATCCACGTAAGTAAATTTTATCAGGTTTTTATATATGTTGTAATATAATATTATATATGATTTATCTAATTTTAAATGCCCTAAATTAATGTAAGAAATTATATCTTTAAAATCATCAGATAAAAATTTGTATTTTTAAAATCATCGAACAAAAAATAAGTGTAGACAAAATTTAAAAATACCATTATTGTCTTATGAAAATTCTACATAATGAGACTTTTCGAATTCTCGGAAACTAATTGCTTATATGTTCTATTGTGTTCTTCATTGTTACTTAATTTAAGTTAATTATATATAATATAATTAATATTGTCCAATCTATGAATATAATAAAATGTCTGACGACGATCATCACATTTTATTTTAAAACCCTTAAAATACAATTAGAATGAAATGCATAGCTTAGGTCACTAACTAGCTATACATTTGATATATTATCACCATATAAATATTATATATTATTTATATATCATAAGTCATTAAATCATTAATTATTTTAACATAATTAAATATTTAAATTTTAAAAATATTTATTTTTAAAGATTTTAAAATTATTAATATTAATGTAATATTTTATGATGCACTAATAATATAAAAGTATTATACATTTATAATGCTAAGTCCGAATAACATTCCAAATTAAAACATAAACACAAATTTGTTTCATTCTTCACTTTTTCCTCAATTAAGAAAAGCTTGTTCAAGCAAGTAACAGAATTGTTAGCACCATGCCTTGATTAGCCTATACCTTGTCAACTTATTGTGGAGCTCCATCTTCTTTATTGTCTCGACAAGATTTTTTTCTTGTTAATAGAATTTTTTTTTTCAATGAAAGTCCATTTGATTTTGAATGGAATAATGGTCATGACCTACATTTCTAAATCTAACAATCTAAAACATAATACAGTAATACAATACAAATGTGATATGAAAAGAAAACACGAATATAATACAATTTAAAATTTTAATAATAATTATACATAAATTTAATAAAATAAAAAAAATACATTTTATGTTTTCGTATCAATATGAATTGTGACATGCAATTTTTGGATAAAATAAAACATGAATATACAATTTAATATTTTACATAATATAAATATACAAATCAATAAATTTATATTTCCTTATTCCAATTTGGAACTATCAAAATTCCAACAATAACTTCTTTATTTTTTTTTTTAAAAAAAAACTTCTATATTCCTACGCGTACTTTTATCATTTAAAAATATATGTCTACATATTATTGTTAGTGATTAAAAAATATTAAACTCATGTGCAGAAATAGTAAAAGATTCTTTATCAAACAATTCCATCAAATTAAATTTAACCAAATGTGTGGTAAGATTTATTATTACTAGTCATCATACTTGCATTTCGCTACTAGGCATTACGAACAACGGGTATTGAGTCAAGAAGGGATAGTATTTAGTTGTAAATGCAAGTGATTTAATAAAGTCAAAGTTCAAATCGCAAACACAACTAGAAAATTTGTTTACAAAAAGTTATGCTACATAATTGGCTATTTGCATTCAATAAGTTTAACAAAAGTGGGAGCATCAATAAAGGCTATGATGGATAAAGTTTTTTACAAAATGGGAACATTAGCTTTTTCATGGTTGGCTGGTGTGGTAAATGAAAACATTGAATTTGTATGATGTAATCTTGTAGAATATGCATTGGTCTGTAGGTTTGAGGTGGTTATCAATAGTGAAACAACGTTGGCCATTTGAGTTATTGCTT